TTAATTATATTATATATTAGTACAAATCACGTTGATCCAATCTAAGCAAAAAAAATCTATTTCTTTATCAAATAACTCTATGTTCTGTTGCGTATCAAAAGCTGGTAATAAAGTCTCCTCTAAGGCTTGATTCTGACCAATTTTTTAAAGCAAATTCTCCATTTTCAATCAGTTCTTTATTTGAGGATTGTTATAGATCTCTATAATCTTTTTTTCAATAAATTCTGGTTTTCGTGATTGTATTGATTAAAATCAATTAAATTAATTTGGTCTTTTAACTGGTCGAATTCTTGTTATATTCTTCCCCAGCCAGGCAAATAATCTTCAGCTGCAGGAATAATTTTAAGAAAGAATCAGTTTATATTTGATGCCTTCACTGCGTTTGATTTAATCATACAAAATAAAAGAAAATCAGCAATCACAAATGTGGTTTAACAGTAATAATAAAGGAAAAAGAAAGGCATCCTTTCAAAAGATCAAAGATTTTTCTGCTTTGGAGCAAGAATTAGAAATTATTATTTCAAAGTATTATTATAATTTAGCAGTAATAAAATAAAGATGTAAAAGATAACGAACAAAATTTATACATAATTAGTTAACCACCCACTGATGATTCACTCTTTCAACATCTTTTCCTTTACTATTATCACTAATACTAATGTCATGAATTAATAAAATATTATTAGTTAGTAACAATGGCAATTAATCAGTAATGATTTTTTTTTTTAAATCAACATTTAAAGTAAGATTATTTAATGAATTATCATCTAGTTTTCTACAATTTTGGTACTTGTAACTGTTAATACAAATACTACATCAGGAAATTAAATCTAACGCCAGAGATGTATAAAATTCGACCGTTCCAATACAGTCCACACTGTCTATAATGGATCATTGGGACCAGGGAAATTTGTCCGTTATAGAGAGAATCCAGTATTAGAAAATCGTACTACATTAAGTCATGTGGAATAAAAACGAAAATTATTGTTGCACTTCTGAGCATTAATAGACTCCCTTTTTAAAGCTGAATTGAATGGTGATGGGTTTTTTAAAATCCAATGTGCGGATCACATAATATTTCAAAAATTTTAACTTTTGAGTATCGATGATCCGCACTATAGCAAAATTGACGAAAATCTGCTCAATTGACACACATTACATTGCATCCAAGCTCGCCAAAAAAAATTGTTTTTTTTTATTTAGTAGAATAAATCTCAAAGATTCCGAAAATACAAAAAAAAAGTACTATAACCTTTTGTTTTTTCTAACTTTTATATTGGGCATCGCCAGATTCCAAGGATTTTACATATAAAATTGAAATACTAAAAAGCATAGAGAAAATTTTTTTTTTGTTTTTGTTTTGTACTAAACATATAGAATATGGGTTTTATTACGAAAAACCTTTTAAACAATAAATTTCCTGCCTAAAGCATATTTTTTTATATTTAATATAAATATGTCGGTCATTATCTTTTATTCTTTTGTTATTATTAAAATCCATTTTTTTATTAAAGCTCTTATTATTTGTTAAAAATAATATCCATAATATATACTAGAATAAATTATAAACTTTTGGGAATAAAAATTACTATGTTTTTATGTGTGTGTTGATATGTATTGTGGTTTTAATTATACAGAGATGTGAGATTCCATTTTGAGGGAAAACTGCATTTTATTTCAGATCACGTGAATCCGTTATAGGCAGTATTTATTTATATGTAAGTCATATGAAGTGATTTTCAGATACACGTAATAAAAAGTTTATATTTAATTAATAATAATTATATCCGTTATAGACAATGTAGACTGTATACAAATTCGTCAAAAAAAGAATAATTCGCAAATGTAACTGTAAATACAATCTACAATCAAACCTTGTCACAACGGACTATAATAATAATTAAATTCTGGTCATAACAGATTTTTAAATTTTTTGCTTCACAAATAAAAACATATAAAATTTTTCTTATTGTTATGTGTCCCATTCATCCGCTGTGACAAGGTTAAAAATTATTATTAACAAAAGCTAACCATCAATCAAAATTCGAAAACTTAGTCACGTGTGTAATGTATAACGTGAAACCGATCGATTTAATCATATTCGGGGGGAGGGTAATACTAAGTGATTGAACCAACTTAGCACTTATCGCGCGACTTTATATATAGATTGACCGACTATCGAATTTTTTTAAATATTAAAAAAAAAGAGGTGAAAATTTTTGGCCAAGTTAGACCAAAAGACTCCTCGAGTTTACATATGTATGGCGAAATTCTGGTAATGCTGGTAACAATTCGCATAATGCTAATCAATTTTGGCCTTGACGTAAGATTTAATTTCCTAATGAATTATGAGCTCTATCATCAAATGGTAGATGGCCTGCAAATATTTCCCACATTAACATCCCAACACTATAAATATATGTTTCTTGTATTGATTCTGCTTCTAAGTAGTTCAGGTGCAATTTATACATATGGTCAAAATCATCGAATTGAGTCATGGCTCAATTAAAATCCGGAACATCGGCATTATGTTGATCGTTATATTGCAACTGACTCAAGACATAGTTCGTGACGTAAGACGCAATTCATCACGAAGATGTAATCCACAACGCGATTTCTCAGCTAATCAAGAAATAAAAATAATGGATTCAATAATTACTAATATTATACATGTACAATCAGCCCTCGTTTCAACGAATTTTGTTTTGATCCATTTTTTTAATTAATTAAATATTTTCGTTTCAACGAATTTTATATTTAAATCGCATTACAATGGACAACGAATTCATTGGTAGGAATTTAATAGTAGTAGTAGGTACTAGTCGCATTACCACGAATTCACGTGATATATATTTAAAATACAAATTTCCAAATTATAAAAAATGAATTGAATAACAATAATGAAATGACAACAATAAAATTAAACATTTTATCCAATTTTCCAAATAATAATAAAAAAGATGAAAGCGAACTACAATAATAAAATTATTTAATTAAAAAATAAAATAATAATATGAACAATAAATCATCAAATTCCAAAAAATCTATACAAATATAGATGAAATTTTCTTTTATCAAATTCTTATAATCCTACACAATTAACAATTAAAAACTTTGAAAATGTCTCAACAACGATCATCCATTAAAAAACCGTACTGCGCAAATTGTGTTTATTAAAACAAACTAAACCCTAACCAAAAAAATATTGAATTAGTAGATATATGGAGTTAGTGCAGGTCGAGTTAGTGACATATTGAAAGAGTCTGATAAATGGCTCAAGTAAAATTAAAAAGATCACATCTGTCATGAATGTTGAAGATTTATTTTTATCATTGTGAAAATAAAATGTCGATCATTACAATTTTGGTGGTCTGTACCATGGATTCGTTGAAACTGTAGTAACTAATTTTTAATTCAATAAGGTTAAAAATAAATAAATGTGTAAAATAAAAAATTGATAAATAAATGAATTTAATATAAAAAGTTCAACTTTATAACTATATAAAAACATCAAGGAAAAGTTGAAAACTGACCATTTGTGATATAATACAAAGTTGTAAGATCAATCAAGACCTTTTAAATAGGCATAAATTGTTTTTTTTTAACCTTCATAATACTTAAAAGCCTCGAATTCAAAGCCAAAACGTACCTCACAACAAAGAAAGTTCTGACTTGCAGTCGGCTGTTATAACTCAAAGAATAGTATTTTTACTTAGAAAATTAAATCATCCTTGATAATAAGTTGTGATGATTGCACAAATCGTTCAACTGAGGTTTTACATGATTTATATTTTTTTTTATAAATATAATCATACTTTAAAAATATTTTTGGAGAAATGTGTTCTACGATTATGATCTATTATTGTCACGTGAATGAGCAGCAAATTTTTCACATATTGGCTGATCTTTTTTTTAATCTTTTACACCCTAAATTTCAGATTATTAATATTAATAATAATATATGGAAAAACCAATAATAATAGAGTTGCTTTTCATAACAACATATTAGTATATTAAGTGATAAGGTTTGCCCTGACACATGTTTTTGGTTTTTAAATTTTATTGATTGTATAATGATAAAAAAGGCCCAGCTACACGAATGTTAAATTTTTTGTACAAATAATATCTGAAAAAAAATTTTTAAAAAATTTAGGTAATAAAAATCATAGTAAACGATTGTCAAATTGAGCTCATGGCCAAATGGATAAGGCGCCTGACTACGGATCAGGAGATTCCAGGTTCGACCCCTGGTGAGCTCGTAATTTTTTTATTATATATCGGTTGTTACGAGGAGACCGCCACAAAGAAATTTCAGGGTTCAAAGTGATTTGAAATCATTTGTACTTGTAAATGTAAATAATAAACATACACCAGATAAGGGTTTAAAATGATATATAGGATTTTATACTAAAATTAGAATATATGAAATTAACTCAGTATTTTAAAAAATTGTTCCTATATTTTTAAATTAAAACCATAAAAGAATTATTCAGATAATAAAAATTATCTACAAAATTTACCAAGAAGGAATCGGAATAAAAGTGAGCAATTACCTAATAAAAAGTTGAAGAAAAAAAATAATATGGGACAGAAGCTTATGATTATATAATTAAGAAAGGTAAAATCCAACCTTTTTTTAGTCCTTTTAGTAATATGAATAATAATAGTTGTAACATTAAATACTAAAGTTGTAACGCCAATCATAATCAAATAGATTTACCATCAAATTTTTCTTCTTTCTTTATATATGAATATTTTGAGATATACTATTGAGATTACTGAAAGTAGTGGCAATATGAAGGCCTGGGACTTCTCGGCACATTTTGTAATTGGGGAGAACATAAATCTTATCAGGGGGGGGGGGAAGATTTTCCCATAATTTCCTTTGTTGCCTTAGGATTATTGTCTACCAGAATATCAAATCAGGAAACTTGTTACGAATAATTTCTCAACGGTAAAGAATAAATTTGACATCAGCAGTTCTTGCTACTCCGTCATTTCTATTTTGGTTTTTTGATTTTAACAGTTTTCTCTTTCAAAACAAGGTTAGCACTTTTATTAATGACTGATGTTTCCAGTAAAGATTGGGCCGCTTTTGTTTCGGTTTTAATATTTCCTATAAGAGCTAATTCTTCAATAAACCCTCCTTGGCAATAATAGTAAACGGGGTTTCTAGAAATTATACTAGCACTAAGAAAACTATAGAGTTTTCGTAAAGAATTCTTTAAAGGGAGAGTTGATTTGAGTATTAAGATAAATAACCATTGGTGTAAGCAATCATCTCGGTCGGTAATAATTTTAATGGATGACCTTTTTGCTGTGAGATTGTTTGATTGGACAGTTAACGTCATTTTGATTCGTTTTTGAATTAATTATTTTTATTCATTAGCACTGTAGCTTGGTTTTGGACAAGTGATGTCTTTGAATTTATCTCTTACTAATGGAGAAATACTATTATAAAGATATTCTCTACGCTTAAGATCCATAGAAGTGCGTGTCAATGTAGGAAGTGCTAGGGCTTTAATGTCTTTTATATTAGAAATTTCTGTTCTTTTACTCAATAGCTTAAATTAATGAATACCTAAAGTATGCTTTTAAAGGTCAAAATATTGAACCCCTTTTCCACCTTCATAGCGTTGAATTTCATTTAATCCTGTACACAGAATATTTTCACAACATCCACACAGCCAACTGTCGTCTCTCGATATAGTTTTTGAATTTTTGAATTTAGTATGTCAAGGAATCATGAAATTTAATTCAATGCTTTTGTATCAATAGTACCATTATTTTCATACTTTTAAAAAATAAAATGCGTCAAGCTGACAAAAATTAAAGTTAAACTTACATGTTCGTTATTATAATTTTAGTCTTGCTGTAATTATCAACTTTTTTTATATGCAATTCACATCAATCATTTTCTTACTTGGTTTCTTGCTTCATTAAAAACTCTCGTCTTTTATTCATTTCAGAATTTTTTATAAACATTTTCAATGTATTTTGATTCTAAATATATATGTAATATAAAACATAAATATTGGTGCACGCCACCTCAAGATGTAAATTATAGAGCATTCCCCTTTAAATTTTAAAATGCACATTAATATTTGTAATTCACCATTAGAATAATGGAAGTTGTTTTTCCCGACTGGAAAAACAGAAAGTTTTAAATGTAATTACTAAATAATTAAAAAAAGAAATTACATCTTATTAATGTAACTTCTAACACATGGTTACACGAAATTTTCTAAAAATAGGGCACGCGTTTAAACTTTGCAAAATTTATAAACAATATTAAACCTCGTATGCTTTCTAAAATATAAAAGGACATGTATTTAGAAAAAGAAAATTGCAAAATATCAACTTGGCTTTTTTTTTTTATCATTATTTTCATTATTAAATAAATCTGAAAATATCATTCCAAAATGATAAACTAGTGGCTGATTAAGAAATTAAAAGATAGATCCTATAACGATTTTGATTATTCCTTTATAAATTTTAATCATTGTTATTTTACTACGTAAAATATATCAAATTTAAATTGATAATCGTAAGTAAGTGGTCAATCTGATAATATAATGGAAATAATAACTCCCAAAAGATTAAATTGGTTAATTACAATTGCAAAATTATCAGAACCACCTAGATAAAGTAAAATATTTAAAAGATATATTTATACATTTATTTAATAGTAATATTTTTTTTTAGGGGTATGTTAAAGATGACAAGAAACTTGCAAACGACAAAGATTTCAACGCCACGAATGCTGTGTTGACGACGACAATTCTGACGCATCAAACCTTTACAAAACCACAACATCTTCAAAGAAATTGGCCAATTACGGCATTAATCGAGATAATACATTAAATTTTAACTATATAAAAGATTGGAAAAAATATGTTCCAATACACCATTATGAAAATCTAATGTTTAGAATTGGTAAGAAATATAATTCCAAAATCATTCTTTTAGAATACACAATTCTCCTAAAGGAATCATGATTTCTGAAAGGCGTCTATTTAATTTTAGATGTTTACAAGTCATTGAAGCGGTTTTGAATATCAAAAGATAACTAGTTTCTGACTTTGACATCAACTATTTATTTATCATTTCTTTTTCTAATCTGTTTAAGATGTACTCATCAAGTTTGTTATGCTAGCCACGTTCCGCCTCTCGAATTCCATCATTAGCATTATGACACGATCCGTTAAGTAATTGACATGGCAGAAAAGATCAACCCAACACACAAAAGTCCAAGGTGTTGAATTTAATATTATTCATATCATTTTTTCAGAATGATCTATAACTTGCAATTGTATACTATTGGGAAATGAAAAATTAATTATTAAACATATAGAAAAATTAAGGAGGGCTTTTTTCTTCCATTCCTTTCTTAAACTTTCATTTTTCATGGTCTTATTATTCTTTCTTAAGAGATGATTAATACTTGGGCGGCGCGTTTTATTTATTTATTAAACTTGTAAAAAAATTGTGTCAAATAATGACATCAACTATTTTCACTGCTTAATCTCAGTAAATTAAAAGGTAATTTGTAATTATTCAACCTAATAATCCTAGCTTGACAAGACCTCTCTCAAAAGTAAAATCTCTTTCATTTTAGGGAAAAATAAGTCATGGCGCAGCAAAAGTAAATAATGTTACAAAAGAATCAAGGAATTGAAAATTCAAAAAAAAAAAACAAACACAAAAGATCTTGAAATTTTAATCGAAAAAGAGTTTTTATCTTATTTATAGGAGGATTTGATCGAGGAACTTATTTCGTAAGGACTTAAAAGATTATAATGAAATAAATTTCGACCCATAAGGGCGATTTAGGGAAAATGGAGAAATTAGAAACGTATGAAAGCCTAAAAGATAGATCACTCGGAACACTCGCGTATGAGATTGAATTAAAAAACATTTATATAATTCTTGTGATTAAAGAAAGTTCCCCCTCCTGACAAAATTCATGTCTTTCCCGATTACAAATCCAAATTCACAAGGAGAAAATATATACCACATTTTGACTAGTGTTGTGATCAAAGCAGCATCAGAATATATAGAGCTACATTTCAAATCACACATGTACAACAGAGAAGAAAAATTTTGATGGCAAATCTATTTTATTGTGATTGGCAGTTACAACTTTAGTATTTAGTCCTATAGCTAATGTTAAAGAAAAGGTAGATAATTTGCCTATTTTATTCTCGCAAATATAAACATAGAATTAATATTATTTTTCTTCTTCCAAGGGTTTCCATTTTTTATTAGGTAGCCGCACGCTTTCTTTTTCCAGTGTATGTTCTTTTTGGTAAATTTCGTAATGAACTCTCTCTTTTCTAAGAGCATCTAGGTAATCAATTAGCTGATTTATGTAGGTTGCACTTTACTTTTTTTTTGGATACGCTTTAATTTTGAATTCTGTGATAGATATTTATAGGTATAATTTTATGAATTTGAAAAGGCCTTCATTGATTTTTATAATTCTTAATATTAATTGGTGGGATACCAGAAAACCACTTTATCCAAAAAATTAGAAAGTATTAAGGCAGCAGAGTAAGATTAACTCGTGCCGAGAATATTGATTGAAAAAAAAACAATCCTACTATTCCTATTATTGCAAGGTGAAGTAGTACAATTACGGTGCAATTACCTTGTGTCGTCGCTAAGTCCACATGCAGTATTATCTGATAGATGCTTGATTCATTCTAATTTACCAAAGATCTTTCTCTCGCGCTTCACACATTCACGTTTATTCATTCATTCATTCATTTGTTCATTCATTCACTCATTTGTTCATTTGTTCATTTGTTCATTTGTTCATTCACGCGCTTATTAATTCAATCCAATTGAAATTATTTTTATTTTTATTTTTTTTATTTGTTAAATGAAAATAAAATTATTTTTAAAAAAAAAAAAAACAAAAAAAACAAAAAAAACAAATTTAAAAATGAAAATGTATGAAAAATGTGTGAATATATGAGAATTGAATGAATAATATTTATATATATTATATTGAATATGTATTTTTTGTATTTTGTGTATGATCGGATCTTATATCAAAAAAATTTTTTTTTTAAAAAACCATTTATAAATATATTTTGCCAATACTTAATTCTTAACTATGAATGAAAAATAAAATCTAATAATAAATGATAAATATTATATATGTGTGTGCGTGTATATATACTTTAATCTATAATAATATTTATATAATCAATACATAAAAAAATTAAAAATTAAAATATATACACAAATCTGTAAATTATTCTACTTTCTTAAAACATATTGAGCTACTTAAAAAAATGAAAATATCAAATTTCATATATAAAAAAAAAAGCCAAATTTAATTAATTCTATAAAGTTTTTTTTTTGCATTTTCATATATGTAAAAATATATATGAATGTAAGAAAGAAATGAATTAATATAACAAAAAAAGAGAAAAAAAATACTAATTTTACAAAAAAATAAAAAATAAAAAAATAAATAGTATATTAATATATTAATAATAATTAATTAATAATATGTACACAAAGAATAAGATAATAAAAAAATCCATTAATTGAATCCAGATTAATTAATAGTTGTAAATGATTAATAAAGTTCTAAAATGTTTTCAGTATTAACATTAGTTGATATATCTAAACCAATTTCTTCAGCCTCCTCAATAAATGTATCCAACACATCGTAAGCTTCTTTACCTAATTTCAAAAATTTTATATTTGCGTAAAATTTGTGAAAGTTATCAATTGTGATTAGGTCCAGCCAAGCATCATCATCATGGTGATATAGCCAATGTATTATAGGTTCGAACTCGTCTGGATATGGTATCGGTACAGTCAGAATATTTGGTAATTTTTGTCTCTCGCCTATCGTATTAAGCGGGCCTAGTAATTGATTAAAGAATCCACTTTGTAATGCTAATACTAAAGTATGTGACCAAAAATATCTTGATGATTGTTGTTGCCGTTGTTGTTGTTGTGATGATGATGAAGAGGAGGAAGATAATGGAAATGAATCATCCATTGGTGTAATTGGTGGTGATAATAAAGATGATGAACTGTCAATGATATTGCTAATCGATGTTTCTTCTCTTTCTTCATCATCTTCTTCCTCTTCATCATAATAACAATAATCGTCATCTTCATCTTCAGCTTCTAAAGCTACATTTAATCCAGCAGTTGTAGCAGTAAAAGTTGACTGTGATGATTTGTTATCATTATTATTACCAAAAGTTGGCGATAATGGTGTCAATGGTGTTGATAATGGTGTTGACAATGGTGTTGATAAAGGCGTTGATAAAGGTGTTGATAGTGAAGATGATGCATTTGAATAGTAATTGTAATTGTTATTATTATTATTATTATTATTATTATTATTATTATTATATTGTTGTTGTAGTAGTAGTTGTTGTTGTTGTTGTTGTAATAATTGTTGCGATAAAATAAACTGTTGATAATTATATAGCATGACATTAAAATAATTTGTAATCTTGGCAGCTTGTAAAGCATTAATATTCAAGTCACTACAATTGATAATTGCATTGTTTCCATTATTGTTGTTATTACTTCTATTGAAATAATTGCAGTACAAATCGATTTCAGATGTGCTGATAACTCTTAATAAGAAATCAGAAGTTAAATTACTCTGCCAATGTTGTGGGCCGAGCTCATCCAAATTCTTGAGGAAATAAGCCGTTGGTATTAATCTGCCCGAACATGGATCTTTATATACTGGAGGTGTATGATCTGATGGTTTATAAATTGGTAGACTCACACGTTTCCTATCAACTGGTAATACTAATAATCCCATGATTTTATTGGTATTATTTATGATATATATTTGAGTAGATTTGTTCTCGCTCGTTAAAAGAATAATTAATCGAAAAATCGTAAATATTTTAAAATAAAGAAAAGATTATAAAAAAATTTTATGAAAATTCAAAAAAATTAATTTAAATTTATATATTATATTATATTAAATATATATATAAATATATACGAACGAAGAGACTATTAAAAAAATAATTTTCAAAATAAAAGTAAAAACTGGCAAAAAAATAAAAAAAAAAAAAACAATCTGGGGAAATCTTTCGAATTAAATAGAAGTAGAATTTGAAATTAAAAAATTTTTTTTAAATATATAAATAATGTAAATAAATAAATAAATGTATATTTTTTTTAAAATCACATTTATTTATTTAATATATTTATATGTAAAATAATTGAATGAATGACGATATATATACTGATGATATTAATGAATGAATGTTTTTAATATATTAGTTGTGATAAATGATAAATATAAATAATAAAAAATATATTTTAATTACATAATTATATATATTAATCTTAGTGTGATACCTTATTGTATTTAAAAGGCAATAATTGAAATAATTATTAGGAAAATAATAAATCGGGAAAACAAAAAAACATGAAAAAATTTAAGATTTTTTTTTTTATTAGTATAAAATTAATAATATTAATATATATTATTTTATTTTTATTATAACTCTGATTTGGGAATTTTAAATGAATTAGTCAGTATTCTTATATATATATATATATATATGTATATTTTACTATTACCTATGTGTATATATATAACTAACGTAGTGCTCTTGTTCATTGTCCGATTGATTTGTACTATTTTATCTTTCAAATACCGATAATTATTAATCAATCAATCAATCCCCTAGCATTAGTGGACGTCCGATATTATTAAAGAAATATATATATATGTGGAAGACAAAAAATAATTATTACACAAATTAATATAAGAAACCCATGTTTATGTATAATAAAACGCGAAAAAATCAAAAATATATTGATTGAAACATAAAAATAAATTCTTAATAAATAAATAATAAAAAAATAAAAAGACGCGTGCATATTCAGTAATTTTTTAAATTTTTGATAAAATTAAAATTAGATTTTTTAATTAAATTAATTAATTTTATAGCAAATATTTGTGGTATTTTTAAAAAGAATTTCCAATTAAAGTTAATTTTTACGAATTTTGCCAATTGTGTGTTTAATTATAACATACGAATATTAAATTTAATATAAATATTTGTAATATTTTAAAAATCGCTAAAAATATTCATTTATTTATTTTGTTATTATTTGTTATTTATATGTGCATGATATATAACTAATCAACTAACATGTTTTTTTAATATTTGTTTCTTTTATTATTTATTACATACACGATTAATGATAGAATTATGGAAAAAATTTAAACATTAGCACTATATATGTCAACGTTTTTCCTTTCTTTATGTTATTTCCAACTTTGGATTTGAAAATAATACCCTATCATTATCAATATATTTATTATTATTTATCGTTAAATACATTCATCATATAAATATATCTTTATTCCAACATTCTATTTCTTTATTCCAAAAAAAAATTGATTGCCTGCGTTCATACATACATACATACATTATTATACGAAATGAAATGAAACGAAACAGAAAAGATACAGAAAAACAAAGGGTGATCGAGCGTTTGGACTAAAGAAAGAATTAACAAAAAATTTTTATATTTTTTATTACTAAAATAGTTTTTGATTTTCCAAATTTAAAAAAAATGGAATTTAATTTTATAAATTTACGCCAACTTGTAAATATAATTTGACAATCTTGGTTTAACGTTACATTGCTTGTGTCAATTATCATTATATATAATTATTAATATATTCGCACTTTTCCTGCTCGCTCATCCATTCATTAACTCGCTCGTCGATTGACTCGCTCATTCACCCATTTCTCCAATAATTTAGATTACATGATTGACTCATTGGTTGATTGATCAGCCACAATCGTTAGTACGGTAACAACAATAATAACTTGCCTGGTTTAGTAATTCTTTGAAAAAAAAAATTTTTTTTAGGTTTTTTTATTTATTTGGAAATCACAACAATTAATCACATGACTATTAATTATCCGATTTTAATTTGAGATTAAAAACAGGCTATTTGATGTCTTTATTTGTACTTGAAGGGAATTCGATGTTTGTTATGATTGATTGACCAAATTAATTAAAATAATTACACAATACAAACATTACACACACACACGGACACACATAAGATCAAGCCTTTCTCTCTCCCAATCCAATCATTTATTATTGCCATAGTGTAAAAGATGTCAATATTTACAATGAACACGATAAACCTTCTTTATATTATTATTCCATTATCTATCAATCAAATCAGATCAATCAAATTTTTTAATTGTTTCTTTTACTTTTTTATATTCCTATCAATCAATTATTAATTCCTTTGCCAAATATTTTTGGTTTTAAAATGAATCTAAACTAATTCATCATCTCCATTATTCTAATGTTTTGAATTGAGTCAGAATAAATCATTCAAATATGATTTAAGAAATAATTTTCATCCCAAAAACAAAACTTCATCACAACAATTCATCATCACTACCATAGCATCCATTCATAATTCTTTTTTTGTCATTATAAAAAATAATAATTATATATTTTCTATTGTTCAAATAATGCCAAATATAATGATTTTCATATGATTTGATTATAACTTAATAAATTGTTAACAATAAAACTTTCAATTATTTAATATCTAAATCTGATTAAGAATTAAAATGAAAATTTAGTAAATAAAACAGTTGTTTTTGCAAGCATACATACATGCACATACATATTAACACCTTCATTATATTTTTCACCTTAGTTTGTTATCATTATTATCTTTACTAATCATCATCATCATCATCATCACTACTACTACACATTCTTCTTATTCTATAAAACGACGTCCAAATTGACGAATAAATCGACCACCATTGGTATTCGATATGAATATATTTACAAGCTTCATCTTACACACATATATATATATAACATATACTATTAACATTTCACAATTAACCAATTGTAAATTTCAAGAGTCTAATACACAGTACATATATAGAATGGTTTGAGTAAAGGTGACCTTCTGCTGTTGACCATAATAAATTTGATTTGCTTTCTTTTTTTGATTAATGGTCGTCTATCTTTGGGTGTATGTATATATATACATACGTGTGAAAATATCGAGTATGTTTGAGACTAGTCATTTTTGGTAAATAATAATTCATAAACAAAACGTAATATTTTTTGATAATTTTTCCTTACATTAGTTAATACCCAAATACTCGGATATATTTTTTTTTTACAGGTTGTATTATTATATAAATACAGCATTTAAATACTATTTATGTAAAAAAAAAATTTTTTTTTTAAAACAATATTTACATTGTTTTTTTTTTAATTCTTTGATCAACATGCATGGTTGTTAAAATTTGGGTTTGAAATAAAAAAATATGCTGTTTATTTAAAAATATGCTGCTTATTTAAAATAAACTGTATATAACATTACTATAGTTATACTATTTTATATAGACACGGCTGTATAAACTTTTTTCTTTGTTTTAATTTCATAAAAAATAATTGTTTTTAATCCAATATAGAAAACAAGGGAAGAAATAAAAAAGATATAGATAACTTACTCAGGGGCTTTTAATCATATCATTTATCTTTTGAAAAACTATTATATTATAATAAGGAAAATTTCCAAATCTATCAAATAATAGCAATTATAACTTACAAATTAAGAAATTAATGTTATTATGTTAAATGGCTTATATACTGGCTTATACATATATATATACACACACACATGCACACTAACATCTATCTACGGCTTTTCTTTTCTTTTCTTTTCATGACTTAATTCATCATGAAAACCTTTACAATAAGCTGATGATATTAGTGGCTAATGTATACGGATTTCAATATTCTCCATATCTCTTACTTCACCTTCGAAAATCCTTCTTGAATATTTTTATGTATGTTTAATAAATAATAAAGATCGCAAAACTTTAAATAAATGGAAATAAAGATTTTTGGCGTTTTTTTTTTTTAATTCATATTGTGAGTTAAATTTGGTAATTGAATACAGTGTGTTTCTTTCTCTTGCTCGTTCTCACTTTCTCTCATTATATACCCACTAAACCATTTTCAATTTAAAGAAATCATTTGTTTCACAAAAAAAAAAAACTTTGATATTGTTCTTCTTCTCAAACATCACTTTCTCCTTTTTACAAAATTACAATTTATCCACCCAATTAAGTTTATAAATATAAACCTAAAATCTGATCGATTCGATTGGATGTAGAATGGAGGAAAAATAATTTCTATTTTGAAAAAAAATTAAAAATCTTGAATTATTATTATATTGGAAAATGGGATGGAAGTAGATGAATTTAGAATTTATTTATTATTAATTATTTATTCCGGGGAATTATTTATTATATATATATTAATGAATAACAATGACGACAAATTTAGCAAAATTATTGACGATTTTTTTCTTCATAAATTCTATAAAAATCGAAATTATTTCATAGACCATCCAACCACACTATCCCAACCAACTTACCACTAATTTACCACCAACTTTAATCCAAACTCAAAATCAAAATCAATAATTAACTATCAATCTATCTTGTTTTCTTGATTTTCTCATTCTTTTCCCTCCCTAAAAAAAAACTTCTCACCTCAGCCAATTCTTCTTCTTATTACTTCAATATGGTAAGTAAGTAGCCTGATAATAACGGTGATGGAATCAATAGTAACAAACAGTAGTAATAGAAGAATTCATGTTTTTTTGGTTTTTTATGAGGAAAAAGAAGAAAAAAATACAACTATTTGTTTTTATTTATTTATTTTTTAATCATTACAAAAAAGGAACTAAACCAGAATTTTCGAATATTTGTTGTTACATGTGAATCAAAATCAATGATGTACTATATATATATAAAATATAAAATGAAATAGTTTTTTTTTTTAAAAAAGATTCTTCGATTTTTTTTTTTTTAAAGGTTTTGAGTTTTTAGGAAAACAATAGAACCATATAAAGTTAACTTATAACAACAATTATATCTCTGCGTACTACCTATTACCACTACTACCACTACTACTACTATATCGAGATTATTATCAATTTTAATTTGTCGGTTCGTCTAATATCAAATATCTGATTATGATACACACGATACACGAATAGAATATCATTAGATATTCTCTCGTCATTTAATTTAATTTTTTTTATCTAATTGTTTTTTTTTCAAAACGGAAAATTCCAATTGGATCTCCGATTTACCTAACCTTCCTATTACTATCTTATTCATTTACCAATCTCGAATAAAACACTGCGTAATAAAATGCAATACAAATATTAACATCAGATACTGATATGTATTAATAACTCGGAAGCTTTCGAATATTAACATTAACATATTTATTAATTAATTCTAAAATTAAAAAACAAATCATGATGTCACACTTAACTTTTAAAGCTATATATATATATACTGACTGCTATAAAAAAATTCACGTATGGCGGATGCATGCATGTACACATGCATGCATACCAGATAGTAATTATACAATAGATCCTTTTATGTAAATGGTCGTAATGATAATAATAACAAGATATCATATTGTTGTTTGATTCCATTGTTCTTTTTTATCTTTCTATTTAATTCTACGTATGATTTTGAAAGAAATACGCGTCAGGAAATCTTTCCGATTGTCAAGCGATATTTTAAACATAAAGTTCGTGCTACATCATGACTTTGGATATTTTTTTTATGCCGTTGCATCATCTTAACGCCCTTGCTTGTTTTTGATTAGTAAAGATGATCTCTAAACAATAATATGATATACTCCCTATATCATTATGTAAGCTTCCTACTGTACTTCAGCAACTTTAAATTAGCCATTTCGGACAAATATTTCAAACATATTTCCTATATCACGAATAATAATATCTCCCAACAAGCATCATTAACGATTTATTTTATCTTGCAGGGAAACATTGAACCTTCCTCTTTAAGTTTGTACCTTCCCTATATATCACCTTTCACTTAATAGTTATATACCCTATAGTTATATGTGTGTGGCTTATCGCACTACTATGACCTGATATTAATATTAACAACATTTAGTGTTAGTGGTGGTGATATAATGGTAAAATTGAAGATCTTTTTCCAGGTTTTTTTTGATCATCGACTACTTTTCTATTTTAATATCTTCGAGATATTTGTGTACTTCCTTTGATCATTGAGTGGTTTTTCCATCTTGAATATAACACGCCCAAAAATAATATATTGGCAAGTTGGAAAACAGCTGTTGCATATATATTAATTGTGACCACTTATCTTCTGATTATTATTGCTATGTTATATATTTTCAGTAGTTCTTTGCTGTTAAATGTTGTTAATTGTTTGATAATAAAAAAATATTGATATTCTTTCCTGTTTTGATATTATAATTAAAAATCCAAAATCTAAAAAAAATTTTGTTAACGGAGAAAAATAAAAAAAAAGATCAACTTCATCAACCTTCTAACTAATTAAATGACAACTTCACGAATTCATTCTTATCCAAGAAGGAAACGCAGAAAAACTTTTCTAGTATATCAATGGACTTCGATTGAACTTGCTGCGTTTTTGACATCTTTTCATAAGGTTAAGTTGTAGATCTTGAAAACAACATTTAGTTATTTTTTTTATTGTCGACTCTTTTAAACATGATAAAAAATTTTTAAATTAATAATTATATGGCTCTTCTCACAAACCACTCTATTTCATAATAACAACAAATTTACATCTCTGAATGATTTTTTTTTTTAAAGCTCACTTCCTTTTATATCTTCTGTGTTTTTGACTTTATTCAGATATACAGCGTTTTGAAATTTAACTTTAATCCTCCATCCCTGGTGTGGTGAGTCTATGTTTATTATTATGATTACCATCAATTTACAGATACAATTTTCCCAAAAACAAGTCAAACATTGATAAACTGCTTTGCTTTTTGAGTTGCGCATGTTTACTAAGGCTATGCAGCAAATTATTTTAAGAAAAGTATAGTGTCTGTAGGAAAATTAGGACGTTTCTTTTATTTATAATTTACCATATATTAATAATAACAATGATTTAATGCTAAATTCTATATTTATTCACATTTAGAAGAGCAATTGAGCTAGAATCAATTCATGATATACATAAAATCCGTCATCTTCTTGACCATATTTAATTAAGATATTATTTTAATTCAAAGAGCTCTTCAAGCGCTTTAAGTAACCCATCATAATTCATCCAGGTATTTGGGCAAACAAGAAGTGGTTTATCATTAATGGTCCAGAACTTCATTATGTTGTTTGCTTTGTCAACAATCGCAGGATCTTTATCTGATCCACACCTTTTGAGTTGCAAAACTTGGCCATTTCTACCTCATATTACAAACTCTCGTTTGTTGTGCATGCATATAAAATTAACTATTACCGTCACTAATCACTTTATATCAAGACATCACATATCACATTTATAAGTAGTAGGTTAGCCTTTTAATCTCGCCAACAGTCATGACATCAATATTTTTGTTATCTACTATAAGCTCAAAATCTGGTTTAAAAGTAACCAGAAACAGAAATTTATGGGATCTGTCTTGCATGCGGGTTCTCCGTGAAATATTTTTCCAAGGCATTTCCATCAATTTCAAGTAGAAACTGTGCTTTTATACTTCCGTGCAGTAAGTGAACAATGATAACAAGAGACCTGTTTCTATAAAGTTTTCAATCACAGAACCCTTTTATCGATACTTAAACACAAATGCCACATGAAATTATAGAGGACTGTTGATGGGCTGGATAAACAACGCGAATGAAATATTTGCACAAGTGTCCAGGAAATCTGCACTAGAACGGATTTTCTTGACATTGTTGCTTAATTTAGACATTTTTGAATAAGGTCACCAACGGTTTTTTTCATAGTTGCCGAACCTGAAGCAGTTGCATTAGAGAATACAGTAAGCTTAGGTTGTTTAAATATAGTGCACCTAAAGATTAATCAAATAGTGACCACAATATAGGTATTCTAGCCATGATAGTTTCTCTGGCTAATTGACCTCCGAAAGACGTACATAGTTGAGTAGAAATCGCGATATATCTAACTTACCTTGTTGAATTTTTTGATCTTCTAATATGTCGAGTTTTTGTTGTAATAAGATCAATTTTTATCTATCACTTTCTCAATATTGTTAATCTTCTTTCCATCTGTTTGATCGATCAAAAAAGATAGTTTTTTCTCTAGATAAAATTGGATTGAATATAAAATGAATACAATCTAAAAGATCTTGATCAGGATCATTAATATCAATGAAACTGGTGTTTGGCTCAAGGTTTGTTGGCGTGTCTAGTGGATGCACCAATCAATAAAAAAAAACTCGAGTTGGAAAAATTGATAAATGTGGAATCACAATTTTTTTTTTTACCTAATGGATGTTTAACAAAAAGAAAATATTATATTTAACTGAAAAACAAAAAAAAATTTTTTGTGATCAAATTCGCTTTAATATTTATCTTAAGAACAGTTTTCCTTTTAAAATATTTTGAGTCGCGTTTTTTTATTGGCCCTTATCATATGATCATGTTACTAAATCCATATTTTATTATGTAACCAGGGCCCACTGACATAATTTTCAACGAAATTAACAAATCATCTTAATTTTAATATTATTTCCATTGGCATTAATTTATTGAAACGGGATGGTTTTTATAATTTCAATTATTGTTTATTTGTATCTATAATATCGCCATTAAATTTGCCTTTTTGGAGAAATTATTTAAATAAATTATACCAAGTAAGCTCCGTGTTTACTTACTACCTTTGGGTATAACAAAAAATCATCCAATTCTTGATTTATAGGAATTATGAACCATTAATGAAATTAGTTTCAAGAAAATTCGTCATATTAAACGATTCCAAGTCTTCGTTATCAGATCCAACAGAAATTGTTTCGTTAGATAACTCAATAGCTATAGTATCCACATCATATTCACTAGTTTCATTCCAGTTTTTATGAAAATCATGTCAGGTGGTACTGTAAAAGTATCTACAATATTACAAGAAAACCATCGATTCATTGAAAAAAAACGTGGAATTGAATCTTTTATTTCCTATCCAAGCTGCAACTTTTAATTAATCCGATCTATAATGGAAAAGATGTTTTAGTTGAAGCAAAGGTTCTCAATTTATTTATTTCTTCATTTATAAGTTAATAATATTTAGATTTTGATTATTTTTATTTGGTTGTTTTTAGACTGAAACTGATAAAATATTGTATTTGCGTTACAACGGTTTTGTAGAATCAGATTTATAAAAGTCAACTTTTGCTGCTGCGGTTTATTGTTATTGGGTAAATATTGAATTTTGTTTTTGATGATCCTTTAATCAAATCAACATTTATACTTTCCCACAATTAGTCTTTACCAATCAGATATTGCAGTTGAAACAATAGAATTGATAATCATTACCACCAATATTATCACCATTAAACATTATTAGCTTCCTCACTCCCTTGACTTTCTTTTCTTGTTTTTGATTTTAACAAGTTGCAAACAGTCTCCATCAGTTCAGCAAATCCAACATCCAGCCTCATCAAGACAAACAAATTTCAATTCGAATTACCATAATTAACATAATACAATATTCTATCAGGTGCACCCACCAAAATATCAACCAATCCAAGCTTTGTGCCTGATAATCATTGTGAATGCATAGAGTTTTTAGGTTAGTGTTGTTTGTTATTGATCCAAACTCTGCTTTATTTTGCTAAATCTCATATTGGTGATATTATCATCGATTTTGGATTAAAATGATAATAAGATTTCAGTTATCGGCCACCAGTAACTCTATCATCATCTTCAATAACAACATAATATCCATCACAACTAATCCTCAAGCAAATGACTCATTATTATCAAGAAAACATTATCAACAGATAGTAATTAATTAATTACCTCTTTCTATCAATAAATACATAAATACAAAAATACCTACTTGTTGTCTACTTGCTGATACAACATTATCAACAGTTTCTAGTTTCCACTCAGCTTCATGAACAACCAATTTTCTATTCAGTAAATCTAACTATTGGCAATATTTCATCTTTCTGGTCAAACTCCACAATCTCATCCTCACTATCATAATAAACGTTTCCTTTTTATTTACCTGTTAGCTGATAATCATTATATTACTACTTGTTTCACCAAAAAAATGTCCAAAGATCATGCTGCAACTCTAATCATTCATAGGTGGCACACTGGAGATCACAAAGTCCTCACTTTTGGGTATAACTGCTATTCTAGATTCTCCAATAGTGATCTGTGTGGGTGGGTGGTGTTTAAAATTAAACCGCTTCTTGCGAGTAACTTTAGCTTGAAATAATAACATCCTTCTAAACTACAACGTTAGATCAATACTAAGCAATATTAGCGTGGGAATTGAGCCCAATGATTCATGTTGTTCTACATTCCCCGTTAAACTATCCTCCATGTATTGCAACAGCTTAATTCTGGAATGTCAATTGTTTCTAACCCACGTTTGTAATATACAATATTGTAAATAATTTTGATGTTATTATTCTTAAATTTATAAAGGATCAATAAAAAAATAAAATGAATACTAACACCATGCAGAAGTAAACTTTTAAGGAACCAGTTTTGGTTGTTTTTCCCTTCCTGATGGTGTAGAATTCCAAGTCATAAAAATTCTGAAAAGTGAAATGAATATGTCAAATCTAGATTATTGAGCTTAAGTGTCAGAGATTTGATAAATAGAGCCATCGTTTGCTCTTAATTCAAGTGCCTTCCCGCTATCCTTTTGTGAGACTTGATTTAGCAAGTTTCAATATAACAGATACTAAAACAAAATGAACGATTTTGAAGCCTAAAAAATATTATTATCATAATCACAAAATTAAGAGGTAAATATTTTTGTAAGCAAGTGAATATAGTAAATATACAACAAAAGAATGTAGATCAAAATAAAACCAAAGCTCAATGAGTTTAAATACACTTCTTTTGTTAATTTTAATACTTCATTATTAGCGTTGAAATGTTTAATTGATTGGTAACCGTCTCGGTTCTCTTTTTCTTGATAGTTGGTGTTGATAGTTTTGGTTATGGTCAATGTTGAAATTTCAATATGTATAATAGATAGATTGTATAGATGGCGTAAATGAATTTCCTATACTGTGAGGATACCTGGTCGTAATTACTTATCATAGATGTTGCAACCAATGATTGCAACCATCATCAAAAACTTGCAAACAGTTGAAATTCTTTTTCTCAGGAAGCCTTTAGCCAAACTTTCAGTCAGGTTATTTTCATATGGTGAAATTTGGGTTAAATTTAATCCTGGCCGAATTCATCCTAATAGTTCTACCTGAAGATATCCCAAATTTATCCTGAACAAAGAACTTCAATCAGTGATCCTTGATAATTTTATTAATATCCACTATATCAAGATTTACTATGTAACACTCCAGGGATGATGAAATTGAACAAAAGAGAGACTTTAAAAGGCGCTCAAAGTTGCAATCGTAATAAAGTTCCATAACCCTCTGCCCCACTCTAAAACTTTGCTTGCATAAAAACTTATCTGACCAGAGGTTAAGATTACCAAATGATTAGAATGGGTATAGTATCCATGTATCAGATATCTGTAGTGTCATTATCATCTTCAGATTAAATATAAAATGGATCGTGATTTAAAAAGATCTTGACCAGTATCATTTATATCAATGAAATTGGTGTTAGGTTCAAGCATGTCTGGAATGGATAAATGGATGATAGATCGATCGATAAAAAAACTCGAGTTCGAAAAATTGATAGATAGATGTGGATGCTTGACAAAAAGAAAATATTTAATATTAATGTGTGCTTCTAGGATCCCCTATCACATGATTACATGGGACTGCGCACCAATATAAGTGTGAATCCGATTTCCCATCTTTGTCAAAATTAAAAAGAGATACTAATGATATATGGTAATACTGCAACCATCACGTCACCAACATCTGCTTGTTCTTTGATAATGAATTAATTACCTTCTTCTATCAACACCCCTTTTTTATTTACTTACTCATAGCTAATACTGATTGATAATCATTATATTGTTATTTATTCATCCAAAAAAAAGGTCCAATTGACAACAAAAAATAGGATACAAAGGACAAAATAAAACCAACTAGAAAAGGAACAAAGATCTTATCAAGTAGGCTTTATTTGAAAAGTATTATTGGATTTATTAACTTGCATAACAAGTAAACCTTATTACACTAAATCAGGAAGATCCAAATCCTCCCTATAGCTAATTGTGGCTTCATAGTTGCTGCTGCTGCCACCAGCTAGACATATCCTGCCACAGTTAAAATGGCAGTAGAGAGGTCAGTAAGTCCCCCTTATAAATGGATCAGGTCTCTCTCCATAAGTGTTTGTGTGCAAAAAAATGTTCCTT